TCATATAAAATGTCGTGACATTGTTGTCTTTCCATCTGAAATAATACATCATAATAATTGCTGAATGCGCAAAAGAGAAAATCTTAGAAACTGCATTCGCGATCGCATTCTTAACACTCCATGTAATGCAATTGACAATTGTTTATTCGCAAATTATTTTCTTAATTTTTTGACACTTTTTAACCTATATATATATATGTCTATGTATGCGAGTTATTATAAATTTATAGACATATAGATTTATATTAATAGACATATAGGCATATATTAAAAAAAAAAAAAAATATATATATATATTAAAATGTGCAAAATATATCCATTTTACAGATATTAAATTACAATGCAATAAAATACAATATAATAAGAAATGTTTATCAATACTGTATACAATACATCTAAAAGAATTTGCATTGAAGAAATTACGTATTCAACGATTGTCTTAACTGTTTTATATATTTAATAATTTTAATTACACATATATTTAATATGTGTGTGTAAAATAGCAATTAAAAAAAGTTGTCAGTACATGAATTTTTATTCAATTTATTATTTTAATATATTTCTCCGCTCAAGAGAGGAAGAAGAAACTCTCATTTTCTCTCACGCATACACATTCATCAGCGAGTCTACTCAGCCTGATCAAAATATCTTCGTCGAATACTTAATTACTTCGATCTCACTATCTTGTAGATGGCTTGCTCTAACAGCCATGTACATTATATACAAGGAAGACTTATGATGGGGTTCCAATTTGCCGCGGGGCGCCGTCAGGCTGCGTTTAACAACTTTTTAATGGAGGCTTGGCGACCATCGTCAGCCTCGGCCGCCAACGTTGAAACGTTAATTCTAACGGGTGTCATTCTGAAAATAAGTTACTCCGTCTCATCTCGTGAATGGAGGAAACGCGTTTTTTTGGTCGTTTTTTTTTTTCGTTGAGAAAAACACGTGAGGAGACCGTTAAAATTAAATGTCATATTAAAAACACTACTGTCATATCATTGTTAATTGTGATATATGTACTTATAAATGAAATATAAAAGCGAAAATTTTAATATATTAAAATATTAGCTTGGATAGCTTTTAATATTTTGTAGAATAACTTATATAGTTTGAATCAAATGCAAAATATTGTTTATATGTTTTTAATCCAAAAGAATACAGTTTTATAGTACTCGGAATTTGAATATAATTGCATTTATATTTATTCTGCTTTCAACTCTTGTTTTCATAGTATTATAACACAAATGTCTTCTTTGTCTATCTCTATATTATTAAAATTATATTTATAAATCTTACATAATTGTACGAGCTTAATATGCATATACAATTGCTTGCGAATACAATCGGTAAATATTACTTCTTAATTGTGTTGTCACGTAAACACAATCGCAAATTTCTATTTTCATAGTATTATTATAATACAACCGTCCTCTTTGTCTATCTCTACATTATTAAAATTACATTATAAATCTTATATAATTGCATGGTATCTTAACATGCATATACAATTGCTTGCGAATACAATTGGTAAGCATTACTTTTTAATTGTCTCGTCACATAACGCAAAGTTTCACACATCTAAATTATAAATCAATTAATATTATATAACATTCACTTTGATTTATGAAATAATTGAAATATTAATATTTTATGATTTATATTAATATATAAAAATTATAGAAAACTATTATATACATAGATATAGAATGAAAACATTAAATTAATATAAATTTTAATTAATTCTTCTCCATTATCCAATGAGCTCGGTGTAATAAGCTTCATAAAGATAATATATAATAATAATATTTTAATCAAATATTATACTATTACCCTACAACGTATCGGAATGAAAAATCCTGGCATTATAACTTTTTAATTTTCCTACATTGCTCCCGATGTTCACATATACATATATCCCGGGAGTAGAGCCGCTTAACACAAACGTATATATTAACAGCCTTTATTAATTAATCGTCATATTTGACGAATAAGTCTCCGAAAAACAAAAAAAGTTCAACTATACACGAATCGCGGTATGAAATTCGCGATAATAATAATTAACCGGCGCACGGTTCTCCGGAGTTACTACTTCGTATATAGCTGGTGTCCATGATTGCACGCGTCGAACGGTGCGATCGATTTTTCGCGCGCGTGCACGCACGCATCTCTAAACGCACGCGCTAAACTTTCTCGCACGTATACATATACATATACACGCGCTCACACACACACACACACATCCACGTTCGCCCGAGCCATCGCTCTGGGGCCCTCGCAGAATCTCGCTCAACCCCGACTCTCTCTCTCTCTCTCTCTCTCTCACCCACCCCTCGACAATTCTCCATCCCTGATAAGCGTCCGCGAGCACCCCCTTTTCCCTACTACCCCCTCGTCGTCTCGTTCTCTTCACCCCGTACCTCTCTCACCCTGAAACCGTCCTCTCGGCACGAACATCCCTCTCGCCTCGTCCTCTCACCCTGCTTTTCGACCCCCTTCAACCCTCGTCCGCCCGTTCTCCATCTAACCTAGCGCAGCATCCGCGTTCTGGAGCTGCTCTCGCAGCTCTCGTAATCGCATTTGACGTCGCTACGTTTTTGTTTCAGAGCAGTACGTGACGCTTCCGCCCGTGAGGGCTCTTGGCAAAACACGCAAGGGAGGAAAAAAGAAGAAGAAGACGCCGGATGGAGAGGGAGAGAAATAATGTGTATATCTACGTGTATATAGACGTGTCTATGTGCGAGATAAGGAGAGGAAGCGCGAAAGAGCAGAGAGAAGCAGGTAAGGAGGAGGAAAACGACGCGCGAACATCCTGAGGGTGGTAGGAGAGAGAGAGAGAGAGAGCTAGTAGATAAGTCGGGGGTGAACGTCGAGGATCGAGAGATCGAACGGGGAGGCTGACCCCCTTGATCATCTCCCGACTTGGACGACGATGACGACGACGAGGCAGCGTTCCGAGGAAGGAACTCTATCTTGTGTTGTTTTTAAGGACCGTAATTTTTGCCGATATTTCTTGCCATCGTTTATTCTCTTTGCTAGCGACGCCGTTCCGCGCTCTCTTTCTCGACCGATTCTGTATATCCTAAGGTGGGTATTTGATGATGGAAAATTCGATCTCTTATATAAAGCAACGAGAAAGAAATATTTCAGTTATGAATGAAAATTAGGAAAGTATAATGGAGATACAGTTGGGATCGTGAGATATCTAAAAACGTTACCCCGTCTGATATTTATGTTATGAATTCTATTAAAGAAGATATTAATAAATAAAATATTAAATTAATGAGAAGAAAGTATTAAGGATAATGAATGGAGAACAAAATTTTGTCTTTAAGTATCACATATTTAATTTTACATTTTTTGGCTTTGACAAAATTTAACAATCCTCTTCGAATAAAGTTGTTGACATTCTTTTCGAATCAAGCAATTCTGGATATATCCAACACATTGATATAAATAAATATAAAATTTATTTACATAAATATTATACTAAATTTTATCTATATACGTTTGTGTGTATAGAAATACACGGTATTCGAAGAAAGTTTTAAAGCGATACAACTGAGTAAAATTATATACCTCTGAAAAGAATTACACTCGGCAATTAACCGATCACACCTACGGTCGCTTTATACACGTGACAGACGGGGTAACGTTTAAATCAGACAAAAGTCTCCCTTACGCACAAGTCGGCCGACACGTGCTTGCCAATTTGTTGGCCGCACGTGTCATCGGCGAAAACCACGTCAAAATATTGCGCTCGATCTGAATAGGCCAATTACTAGGCTCCGTAACCAAAAATACGCCCATCTATGCGGCGGAGATTTTCTTGAAATGGGCATCGTTTTAACTTCGCCCTTAGCGCGCATTTCTCTGCGACCGTGTCATCGAATTGTGCACGCGCCATTTTCACACGAAATATTCGTTTAAAATTATCTTTGCTGAATTTTTCCTTATTGCCATAGAAGCTTTAATCATAAGCTTTTGGGGAACAACGCGAATCCGGGCGAAGTGTGCAAACACCAACGAATTCGAAGTCGCGGCCTTTGTCGGGCGTCGCATAAAAGGGGAAATTTCGCGCGCGAAAGCTTGGCAATTCCGCCTCTTTCAATTCCTCCAAAACAGAACGCCCATGGCGCGTGTCGACACTCTTCCGAAGGTTGTAATTTTCTCTCGACAATGCCTAAAATTCAGGCAAAGCGGGCCAATTCAAGACCGAACGAGGTCCCTTTGAGGTTTCTTTCATTGTCGATGCAATAATTCGCTTTAATGGTTTCGTCCCGTTCGTTCCCATGACTCGCCGTGTATTTTTTCTCGCTGTTTCTTAATACATTCCGTTTTTTGTTTGCCTCGTAACTTGCGACAAATTCTAGTACCCTGGAAAATAATGAGAAAGACTCGCGAAACGTGAAAAGATTCAGTTTCAATTACAATGCATGCTAGCTTAATTTTCTATTAAATAATCGATTGTTTTATTGAATTTGTTTGGTGTATATTTTTGATTGAATTCTTTTTTTTCTTTTAAATAATTTTTAGACTCTAACTATGAAATTATTTTTCTATACCTTCTTGAAATTTTCCGTGAAATTATTCTTTTTTGCTACCTTAATTTTTGCAAACTTTTATTACGAGGCCACGCATTCTAGAGTTGATAAAAGTTTAACAATATCCGATTTTCACTTGTGATCCTTTATGGTAAGAGATATCGTGAAAGATTCGTAACTAAATTAAAAAAAGGGATAATATAGTTATTATCTCCTTTTATAATTTTGTTATGTATTTTTCGCGATCTCTTTTATTTTAATAGTTTCATAAAATTATAAGAATCTTATTTATACAATATTTTCAAACCAATGTTTTATTATCAAATTTTTTTTACAATTTTTAATTTAGTATATACATACTTCTAACATTACTTACACTATGTTTAAAATTTTTCAAAATCAAAATTAGATAAAATTTTCATTATTTTATTTTATTTACAGCTGAAAAAGTGTGACAAATTCCTTCAATTTTTAATGTTATATAATTTTTTAATTGTGCCATGGTTCAAATATTCACAATATTTGCTCATGTATCGAAAATACATGCACAGAGAATGTAAATCGTAATGCGATGCAACGATTTGTGTAGTGTAAAGGATATAGGGAGAAGATGGACGGAGGTAAAGTACTCGATAATTTCATCTCTTCATAATGCAGGCGTGCATCTCGTTGCACGCGAATGACCGCTCTGGCGCCGACGAATTCCACGTGGATTTCTATGTAACGTCAAACCACTGTTTGTATACGACCGCCGTCTGATCGATCTAATTCGCAAAGGGTAGATCATTGAGATTAGATTAGATTTTATGGTGCGCCAGTCTCGTCGCACGGACCATATGCAGGTTATACACTTTGTAAGGGTAGTTGGCGGCACCCCGATGACTTGCAAGTGGAATTAAAAATGAAGAACGTAGGTTCCGTATGCGAGTTATAATAAATTTTTAAATTATGCAGTGTATTTCAAAGTCGATAGGTATAATTTATTCGAGTTAGAAAGAAGAGACAGATAAAGCTTCTGAGGAAACAGCATCAGAAATGTCATCGACAGAGGTTTGTAATTTATATTTTGAAGTTTATAATATCTATCTTCTTATATGCAAATTATAAATATATATTCAAATATATATATGAGATGCTTTTGATATAATAGTGGATGGTGATCAACAGAAAATATACATTTTCTTTATTTTATCGAGATAGTTTTGACTTTGTCTAAAACTGTGAATAGCGATATAAATTTAATAAAAATAATAATACAAATAAATTCTTTATATTTTGTGATATATTCTTAATAGAAATCTCAAAATAACTGTTTGAAATCTTATACTAGTGACGGCGACAATCGTGTTTTGCCCAGATGGGCAAACCACCCACTAATTTTACGTCTGATATATACACACATACAGTTATAACTACAAAGATATATAGCTCTACGTAATATTTTACCATATGATATGTTTCTAATACATATATTTATATCCATTTATGGATTTTCGGAAAAATATTATGGGGTGGAAACATGTGAAAGATTGTTTATAATTGCAAAATACAATAATATATACAATAATAATACATATAAAAAAATATGTAGGTATATGTAAAATTTATTATAGTATATTTGTAACATTTTTTGCATATATTGCATCTTTAGCAGCGCGCGTGTGATAAGTCGCGAACTGGAATATGCATTACTTCATTTCTGACATTTTAATTTTCATTAGTATTTGGATGGGATGTTATGCAAATTAGTGTAACAATATGTAAATGACGATAATAATATAGTGCTGTGAAAAAATGATATAAAAGATACGCATACAACTCTAAAAATTAAATTATACTTATAAATAAAAAACAGATTTTAATATTCCTGCATGAGTCATTTAATACGAAATGAATTAAAAATCAGAATATGCACCTTACAGATTTGTTCATGTACAGAAGTATATATATATATATATATATATATATATATATATATATATACTTTATTTCATTTACTATTATTTATTATATAAACTTCACACAAATGACAAAAATACTTTGATTTTTGAATCACTTAGTACAGTGAATTCTTTTACTTAGAATGTGTAATTTTTAATTATTAGAAATTCATATATATTTATAATTTGTATATTAAGCTAAATACAAATCATAATTATATGTTTAATTTTTAAAGACTTATAAGCTGCAATAAGTTTGTTTCAGTGTTATATTGATAATAATTAGATACTGTTAAAGAGAAATCGAGTTTCTTTTATCACTTTAATTGCAAGTAACAATATAATCCAAATTCTTCATTTTTCTCTTTCTTGCATTAATTTTTTCGTATTTCTTGAAGAAATTTTGTATTAATAAAATTTTCCTTTTTTTGAAGGAAGAAATTAAAAATTTAATTAGTTTTTATGCTCACAGTATCTAATGTTAAGAAATAATTTATTGATCAATTTTGCTGACAACGATTGAGAATGTTGTTGCGAAAATGATCGGAGATATATGTTTGTTAATATACGTCTGTTTTAATCTGAAGTATATACTTTAATGCAGGAACTTTTTGATCGTTTCTTACAGTCGGATAGTTTATTCGTGGCTAGTGTGACAGATTTCGACCACGCCCTGCCGATATGGTACCCCCTTGTCCAGCTACCCTTGGATTCACTGACGACGTATCGAAAATTTGCTGGCTTTGATCTGCACGCGGCGACTTTTCTGGCACCGCATGTTGTCATCGTTTTTGTCGGCATCAATCTTTAATGAAGGTATTCAAATTTGTAATGATATGTCATTTAGTTAGGAAAAATATTAGAACATTTAAAAAGCATATATATATATATATATATAGAGAGAGAGAGAGAGAGGGAGAGAAATTAATTACCTACACGCGACTTCAACTTTTATTTGCTACCATTTTTAATATTATCACACAATTATATTTTATATCGTTTTTTAAATTAAAATTTTTTGGAAAATGCCACATATAAATTAGTGTATTATGTTTTATATTTCTTTCATTCGTCAAAATTACATATATGTAAGATTGACACCATTTTGATAAGTGTAGATTTTGATGCAAACTGACTGATAAAAATATTTTCTACATTAATTTGCGACAGTGCAAATTAAATTCACTGTCATTAAAACAATTTTATACACATTTGCGTTAAATATATTTTTTTGCTTTTTGCAATTATTTTGCAGTTTGTTATAATTGAAGGTATAATTATATATAATAAAATATATAGAGACGCAACTTTTTTAAATGCTACTTTTTTAGTTAAACATTTTCAGACATTTTTTTTCCATTTACAACATTTCTGCACTTTTCTTTCCAAATCGTTTATCCTGTTGTTTATCCTGTTTCGACTAGGACGCGTAGTTGTTGGTGGCCCAGTTTTCGGACAGCCAGCAAATTGACTTTTGCCAGTTCAATGAAAACGGCAGCGGCCGAGGCCTTTGAAAGCGCGCCGCGTAACTTCTGAGACGTCGATGCTCTTCGAATGAGCTCTCGAAACTTTACATTTCTTCGTCGTGCTCTCTTTTTCGCCGCTCCGTTCGATCTCGCGCGGAAGCTCATCGATCTCCCTCGGCGCGGTCGAGAGGAAATCCTCTCTTTCCCTCGATGTCTCGCTGGAGCCGCCTCAAAGAGGGCGCAAGCACGAAGAACTCTCGCGGAAAATCGAAGAGCGAGGGACGAGCTCTCTCTCTCTCTCTCTGGATCTGACGCGCATATTTCTTTCCGCGTCGCGAGGAAAGAAAATGTGCGCTGCGAGAAAAAAGGAAGAAGAGAAAAATAATAAAAAAAAAGGAAATGAAAAATAAAATACGCGCGCGGAAAATAGAAAAGAGATAAGCACAAAACATACAAAGGAGCGCGCGCACGAGACGGTGGGGAACTTAAAAATGATATCCACCGTGAGACAAAGTGAGGGTAGCTTGGCGCAAAGAAAGCCAGAAATGAAAAATGGAAATGCTGACAGCTATGGCGATGCAAATCGCGAAGGGATGCCGGAACGAGAGCGAACGCACGAGCGGAATAGATGATCCATGCTATTCAGTATAATTGGCGCGTAAGAGTTTTATGGATACTTTCTTTCATTAAAGGTTTCCTCTATCTATCGATGTAAAGTCAAGTACCTACAATTAAAGCGATTTTTTACAAAACAGCTCGACGTATCGATATCTCTTATTCTATTGTAAATTTTTTAATATATATATATATATATTGCGTTATGAATATCATTAAAACGTCTAAAAATGTTTAAGCTCGGTAATATACAATTTTAGAGACACCTTGTTCTTTGAAATCTAGAAATACTAGAAATAATTGATTCCGACTTTTTTCTCGATAACCAGAGATCTGGTGTACATTGAAAGGATTCAGAAGAATTTGAGGAATGAAATTAGAGAACTTTACGGGGTGTTACAAAGCCAATCAGCCAAAACGCGAATGGACGATCTCGACGAAATCTGAAAAAAGGGAAGAAATCAAGAAACGCAATCTACCGCGTTCCTATACACACACACACACACATAAAAAAAAAAAGTGAAACGTGCGAGGGACCGACGAGAGAAAGAGAGTATACGAGTCTCGAAATTACAAAGCCTCCGAAAAAGCCAGGCGCGAGATACACAAAGACATTTAGCGCCGGGCCGAATGCATCTCACGGCGCAAACGATGCACCACCGCGACGCGGCACGCAGGTGAGTCACACAGGCGTGGGTGTACATTACAATCAAATCCCGAAAAAGGGGGAAAAGAATTAAAAAAGCTATCTGCCGCGAGATAATAAAAACGAAGACGAGAGCCGCGGTAGAAGAGGAACAGAGATGAAGCTAACAGAGAGAGTGATAGAGAGAGCAAAATAGCGTTTCATAGAACAAGAGGAACGCGAGGGAGAAGGAAGCGACTATTTAGATAGAGAAAGAGAGAAAGAGATGGAGAGAACGACGATGACGAGGAACCTAACCCACACCGGGGTGGGTGGCGAAAGAGGGTGGTTTCTCTCTCGTACGCCATATCTCTCTCGGCGCGTATTGGTGACTGGGATGAAACGTGTGCGTCGTTGGAAAAGCGCTACACGCTGGTGGGTCCCGGAAAGAAAATCGCTCGCAGGCTATTTTCCGGAGGAATTTTTATTGGTACGCCCGCCATGTTGGCAGCCGCGACGGGGGTGCCGCGGGCATCCCGATGGCCCGCGCGATTGGTCGTCGCTGGGGCGACGCATCCGCGGCTGGACCAATCAGCGCGCGCCACCCTCACTCTCTGGCCGTCAGAGCGGGGTAGCGACGGAGGGCGACCGGTTACGAGCAACAACCCCCTACCACTTGCGACGACGGCCGAGAGAGGCAACCCCTTCGGGTTCTCACCCCCGCGCGGAGTCACCGGGATAACTGCATTTCGCGGACAGAATCCCACAAGAACTCACGGCGAGCGGTCGCCCCCTCTGACTCGCTCTCTCCGCTCTCTCCTGCGTCGTCGTCGGGTTTGTCCCACCGCGTTGTCCTTCGCAGGAAGGAAGGAAAGGAAGGAAGGGCGCGTCGTGCACGTCGTCCTCGTCGTCGTCGTCGTCGTCCTCGTCGTCGTCGTCGTCGTCGCCGTCGTCTGTCGCGGTGCGCGCCATTTCTCGCCAATTACTTCGATATTCGAATTTTCAAGGCCAGCTGATCGACGTTCTCCCTTTACGCAAGGGGGTCGCGCACCCTTTTAATTGGATCCGCGGGATAATCGGATTTAAATCGCGGCCGAGTTGCGTTGATGTATCTTCTTGGCGATTCGTAGATGATAAAATCGATATCGTGCGTCTGTTTTGATCGTTCGTGTATCCGAGGAGCGATAGCGGAAGACTCTCGAGTCTCGAAGAGAGTTCTCTGCTGACGAAGAAAGAGACTCGGAGGAGAGAGAGAGAGAGAGGGAGAGAGAGAGAGAGAGACGTGTCTTCGAATTGGATTTCTTTTATCGAACGATTCTTGAAGAGGCCACCGAAAAGAAAAGCATGAAGAAGAGAACCACGATTCTAAGTGAAATTTGAAGAAACGCTTGAGTGCAACGAAACTGCAGTTATAGAAGAGAGAGAGAGAAAGAGAGAGAGAGAGACAACATTCGATGAAGCTACTAGATGCAGAATGAACCGCGAGTTGGGTTAAGCTGTTATTAGCAGATAAGATTAACTGTTGCAAAAATCTACTCTGCTGCCTGTGAATTTTTACAAAGATTGAGATCGTATACATCACTTGGAAAAATCACATTGTAAAAAAATCTAATTGTAATATTAATTATCGAATCTTTCAGGCGTATATTTCTGAAAGAATTAAAAAGACTATATAAAAATTGAATTAGTAGTTGAAATCTATAATAGATTAATTTAACACTAAATCGATAAGCAATATTTTATACATAATTAATCAATCCTGATTTTTTGCAAACTAATCGACACACACGTACACATCAATGGATTTCGCTCCGATATTTATTATGCGATAACTATCGCTCGAAGACAAGAATCTAACCATAATAGTGATACCAAAGTTGTGTACCGCACAAGTGTTACCTAAAGAGAATGCTCGAAGAAAAGGGATCGTTAAAATCCCTCGACTGATCTCCTCGGACAGTTTATAAACACACAACAACAACAACAAGCTAAATTATTCCTTCCAAATAAGTCGTCAAATAAGTGCGAGCAGTCTCCTAAACCGAGGAAACACATACCTTTTCCTCGCGACTCGGCCCTTCGTTGAAGTCACCGAGCCAAAGTTTCTTCTGGATTTTTCAAGCATCTCCCTCGACATCACCAGGAGGGATAGCGCCCTCATCGTAGTCGCTCGCGTCGGAAGATGTCCTCGTAGATCGCCGCGATTTCGCTCAGGTGTTACCAGTACGAGCTACCTCGACCAGGTCACCCCGGCATCACCCTGGCTAACGATCTGTCCGGAGGTACCGGGGGTCCCGGTGCGGGCGGCGTCGGTTCCGTCGGCGGTACTTCCGTCGGCGGCGGCGGAGGCGGCGGCGGCGGCGGCAGCGGTGGCGGCTCGTCCCTGCCGACGACCGCCCTCAGCCTCGATCACCAGCAATTCAACATCTTCCCGGCGATCTTCAGCCGGCAGCTCAACTTCTCCGCGGCGGCGGCCGCCAACTGCGGCCAGAACAAGTTGATGGACGAGTTAAGGCCGAATCTGGGTCTCCTCGGCGTCGGTCTGGTCGAGAACGACAGCTTCCACCTGAATCACAATCAGGAGAAGAGGAAGTGCAGCAGCGCCAGCTCGAATGAGCAGGATTTCGGTCTCTATGGGGTGCATCAGGGCCTGGAGGCGAGCCCGCCGACGCCCGCCGCGACTCCTGGCAGAAGCAGCGTCGGGGCTACCACGACTGTCGGTGAGTGTTTCGATCTTCGGAATGGAATTCTATCAATTACTTATTTTAGAGTTATATTAAGCTATTTTCTTGGCTAATACACGGCCATCTTTTTTCATGAAATTTAAACGCAAATATATATTTTTATAATGAATTTCAATGATGAAAATCAATGATAATGTTTCGATCTTCGGAATGGAATTCTATCAATTACTTATTTTAGAGTTATATTAAGCTATTTTCTTGGCTAATACACGGCCATCTTTTTTTATGAAATTTAAACGCAAATATATATATTTTTATAATGAATTTCAATGGTGAAGATCAATGATATTATAACACTCGAGGAAAGTAAATTCAATTTCATGCTTATTCGTTTCTCGCTCGAGTACACTGGAACCAACATTTTTTACCTTCGCTAAATCTTCCAACTGAATTACTATTTTGTTCATTGAACATATATTTAATTTCATGTTGGATTTAATGTGTCATGTTTTATTTTAATATTTTTGTTTCTTCAAAAGATTATTTATTTTTATTTTAATTAGATAGATTACAATGTATGTGTTGACTGTTTTTTTTTATTGATTTATGTGAGAATTGAATTGGAAATATCGTAATAATTTTTATAATTTTACATAAACACATTTATTGGAATAGATGTTCTATGTTGCGAATAAAATGTTGTAGAGAAAATTTTTTTAGAGGAGTAAGTTCTTGGCTTTATTTAAGTGAGCAATTATTCGATTGAAAAAAATTAGAATACGTGCATTGACTATATTTTTTCTTATTGCGAGAACTCAATTGGAAATATCAATGATAATTTTTATTTTACATAAATATATTTATTGGAATATATATATATATATTGCATTATATAAAATTATATATCCTACTTATCTTTTTTCATGAAATTTAAACGCAAATATATATTTTTATAATGAATTTCAATGATATTATAACACTCGAGGGAAGTAAATTATTTTAACATTTGTCATCATTATTTCGACGTCTCTTTGACGCACAATTTTTTCTAAATAATATAAGACGTTACTTTGGGTATTCTGTAATCTGATATACTTTTTCAAAGTGTCGCGTTTTTACCCCGTCGAGAAAAATGGACATCGTGCTATCTCGAGATAGACGCATTTTCCGCTTGTTGAGCCCCGAGCACGCGTTCACGCTGGCGACGCGATCAACTCGGAGTGTTGACAATGGATCGGGTGGGCTAGACATATGGTGGTACCTGTTCCGCGGACTATTATTATGTGCTAGTAGGGCTTACGAGAGCTTAGCACCGAGGGTGCACTAATGGGGTGGGCTCGAAACGTCGGACGTAGCTTGAACGAGTGGCGAGTCGAAAGACTCGAATAAAAGAACTCGTCTCTCTCGTTCCCTCTCATTTTAGTTATTGTATATCGCGACTCGTATTTCATAACGCGCGTTTCGTCCACTCGAAACGTCAACGCGTTTAATCGTCGCGTAGTTCCAAAACAAATTAATCGAATTAATTAGAAACACTTTACTACATGATTATTAATTTAGAATAAAGCGCGAAATAAACTTCGTCTCATTTTAATGTAATACATTTTTTATATCGTTAAAAAAACAAAGCGTTTTTAACAAGATTTTATAAATCGTTTACGGAATGATTAATCGCTTATTAAAATTGACACTGAATTCTTAATTAATGCATCTTTCTTTCTAAGCAAGAGATCGGACGCTTAAATTGACGTATGAGGTTCAACAGGTCTGTAGTCGTAGCGCGACGATCGTTGGAATTTTTTCGATCTTATTATGCCCGTGAATGTGAATTTCACGCGGTGGCACCGATTTGCAAATCGCGATATCCAGCATTCCGCCGTACCCTTCAAGGTCAGGGTTTCCGGAAACGAAGTGAGACTACCGCGGGATTCTCATGCAAATGATAATCCCGACAGCGTCGGGCCGCTTCGCGACGAGGGAAAAAGAGATAACGGGAATAAAACGAGGACAGGACGGCGGTGGAGGGAAAAATTAATGTCGTTAACCCCCTCGCGCGTTCTCCCGGGTATTAAAAGTACTCGAGCGACGGTCTTCTGCGCGCGCGGTTCCCGTATCCTCCTTAAAAGGCGCGTTCCGCTCCTGTCGAGTGACCCGTAACGTCGTCAGCCTCCAAATTCGTTTGTTCCGCGTATTCGCCCCTTACACACTCTGATTATACCCTGGCGATACAATCATTCTTAACAGTATATCGAACGTCGAGATCGAGTATTTGGACTATCCGATCATTATTCATGAGGAGGAAATGTGTCGTCATTTTTACAGCTACTTTTCAATTTTTCAATGTCTTCACAATTAAACTTGAAATTATCAAACTGTATTTGAAGTAAGTAATTGCGAGAGAAAATTAAGGGAAAGGTTTTTTATTTAGGTATCTGGTATTTCAAAAGCTTAAGGCTTTTCACACTTGTTGGATTAATTTTTGATATCTTTCTCTTCTCGCTTTTTGATATTTTTCTACAAATCAATTGCATACACAGAATATTCTAAAAGTGCAATCTTAAATATTTCGAAGAAGATTATCAGTTGTCATTTTTAAATATTTTAATAATTCAAAATTACGTATCGCTTTTTTAAGAAACGTGTATAATTCAGTAGCATAATTTATACATAATAGTATTAGTATACATAATAATGTTAACATAAATGAAGTATTTTTTAAATATAATAATGTATATTTTAATATATACTTTATATAAAACTAACAAGTTTTATATTCTTTAAAACTATATTTAAAAATCAAAGGAGCCATTTAAAAAAAAAATCCCTGAGAGAAAGTGAGACGTTGAGTGAGAAATAGACTTGTAGTAGACGGAAGTATTCGATATTGTCATAGATAAAAATCCGAATAATTTCTCGCGCTTTATCGTGGAAACGTATCACTTTCCGATAATGCGTTCTAACGTGACAGCAGATGCCGACGGACGGCAGCTGTAGGTCGAGAGAAGGCCATCGCATTAGCAGTAATCCTGTAAATCGTGTCATTCGTCGCCACGCGTCACCTCGTTAAAATCACCGCTAATTAGCCCCCGAAATCTGCGGGGGCAGATGTTGCAATGTGCCCCTTTCGCTCCTTTTCCCGAGCTTTTCTCGAGTGTCGCTTTCGTCGAGCCTGTCGGCGAACAGCTTGTAACTTCATCTAACAAAGGGTTAACTCGGCTGCGAAACGGGTCGTACGGTTTTGCCGACATTTTATTGTCGTCGCTCCGCTTTGCTCATCTCCGGTCGTACGAATTTATTTCGCGAGACATTATAGTATTGTAGTTTATACGACACATGTAAATTGAATTATTTTTTATTTGCGGATCCTTTGATCAACTTGGAGGAAAAATTAATTCTCAACTGCTTCGAAAATCAAAAAGCTTGGAATATTTTATTTTCTATAACTAAACGTCTCGCCTTTTATATATTGTCTATTATCTAGAAATTTTATTAAAATGTGTGTATAAAGAGATCTCTGATTGTAGAGCATAATATATATTATTTTATTCTCGTTTAAAAGAAAATGATAAGAGAGAAAGAAAGAGAGGTTTATTTTCCAAAAATTGTTTTTTATTGAGGAAAATTGGTTTATATCTAATAGCCAGTAACACTGTAAAACATAATATTGTTTATAAAATAGTATAACTATTAATAAAATATGAAGCAAATATCATATAAAGAAATCTTTATAACTGTGTCTATATACATATATCTCTCTTTTTATCGTTAAATAAAATAAATATTATTAAAACATACTTCTTTTTTTTAATTTGGATTTTTGTTACTCGCAGCAAATCCTTTTTAAGAGAATTTTTCCATAATATATGTATTTTTTAATGTTAGTTTATGACTACAAACAGCAATTATATTACGTAAGATAATTTTATCTGATTGTAATAATATTTAATTCTTTTGATAAATGTTTATATTTGATTTTATAGTGTATTCGTTTTAACAAATACAGTTTGCAAGGATATAATTTTTCAGCAGATTTTTACATCAAAGATGTAAAACCGACAACCGTAATTTTTTTTGCCTATTTTCTGCAATCGAAAAACTCTGTAATTGCATAAAAACAGATTCAAATCCCGAACAAATTGAAACACAGCAATGCACAAATATATTTGACGAATCTAAATTTACAATCCAGTAATAAACTTTTTGCTTTCTTATAATTAAATTATAAAATCAATATTTATAAGTTCATATGTGTGTGTCTCTCGAATAATAGTTGTGAAGAATGTTTATAACAATATTTTACGTACTATACAAAAGAATCATACATTGTGTAAATGGGTCGATATCCCATTGTCATATATCGTAAATTAATGGGAAAAATTCATTTCGACATCATAAAGATCGTGGAAAACACTTTTTTGCCGATACCTTTTATGAGACATTAATTTCATTTCGTATCATTTATGAAAATCTCGTTTCAATCTATACTCATGTACAAAAAATTAGGACGAGCTTTTTGTTGCGTTAAAATGGAATATACTTTTAATGGAACAAAGTATTCCTTCCAGTTCGCGTTATCACAACTTTCAGAATTTAATTGCACGTGATTATACATATGATTGAATGTAAAATCCTTTTTATCTCTTATTTTTTTTAATTCCTATCTCTCTCCATTTTCTTGCGCTAGAAAAATTTCGAAACAAAATAATAAATTCTATACATATTTGATTTTTCACTTGTATTCCGAAATAAAAGATACAAAATTTGATACGCGTTCTCAAAATATAAAATTCATAAAAACTCGACGAAAATTAAAATGCTCCGAGAAAAAATTGTTGGACAAAAAAATTAATATAAATAATAGAAAAAATAGATTAATATTACAATAAAACATTAGAAACATTAGAAGAAAAAATAGCGAAAGGAGCGGCCTCACCAAGGCCCTTCGCCTTCTTACATATTTGACGTTTCACTTGTATTCCGAATTTAGAAATACAAAATTTAATACGCGTCTTCAAAATAATAAATTCTACACATATTTGATTTTCCACTTGTGTTTCGAAATAAAAGAAAAAAAATTTGATACGCGTTCTCAAAATATAAACTTGATGAAAACTGTGCGAAAATTTCTCGAGAATTAAAACGCTCGGAGAAAAAATGGTTGAATAAAAAAAATGAATATAATAATTAATAAAAAAAAATAACGTAATAATAACGCTCGGAGAAAAATGAGCAAGAGGAGCGGCCTCGCGAGGGCCCTTCGCCTTCTTCGCTGAACTTGACCGAGTTTCCTCGTTCACCGGGTAACCGGGCAAGGTATGTAAAGTGGACAGCATTCATCCTTGAACATTGAATCAGCATGTAACATGATTAGGTCATTAACGCCCTAACCAAGTTAGCATAGTGCGAGGGACTTCGCTCGCCACGCTTACCCCGGGACCTCGTGCGACCCCGGGTATAGGTACCTACGTTCGTTCATAAAGCCCCGGCGCCGCGACGCCGCGTCAACCAAGACGACGACGACGTCGACGACGCCGGCCGTGGACCTTGTCGCGCTCGAGGTCGAAAGTGCGGCGGATCGCGGCGCCTTCCACGGAATATCGAATTTTCCGGGGATGAAAGCGATACGGGAAATCGAGTTTCGGTTCGCTCCTGTCCGACTCTTTCGTCCTCGTCGTCGTCTAACGGATGAACAATACGTGTATATACGCGGCGATCCGCAGAGGGTGTTGACCGCGTTTATGACCGAGTATCGTTAACGGAGTTTGTTTATCGCGTTGGCCTCGGAAAATTCTCACGTAACTCGGTTTAGTCGCGGAAAAGAGTTTCGACGTGTCGCGCTTTCGCGAGAACCTCCTCTCTCGCGCTCGTCGAACTAGGTGATCATTGAAATATTCCGCGGAATTATATAAAGTTTGTTCGCGTGCCTTCGAGACTTTTTCGTTTTGCATAATTCTTCATTTCTTTTAGCAATTGGTTAAAGAGAAAAAAATTGCACAAGTTGACGCACAATTTGGAAAAAACCGATCGTATTTTATGCAATATGAATCATTTAGCGAGATTATCTTTTAAATATTGATAAAATTTAGCGCATAACGATTTAATACGTTGTTATATTATGTCATTTGTTCGACATACAATTTTGCTACTCAATATATTATTTGATGGCCACAACATACACATTAATATGCCATTAAAATAATTTCAAGCGCAATCGGCGAATAATTTAATTTATGAAATTATGACGTAATTATACACCCTCACACAATACAATTGACTAATGCAATGTTAATAAAATTGAAATTTATCTATCGTCATATCGACTGTATAGACAAACATTATCCCAGTTTAAGTCTGGATTGGATAAATCTTATTAAATGATTAAATTTTACCAATGTTAAATATTTCATTTCCTCTTTTTTTTTGCAGGAGCAGAAGGAGCTTTTAAAAAGTTAAAGCCCGACCCCTGCGCCTCTAGTCCTCACATCGGCCACACACCTACAACAGCTAGTTGTCCAACACCAGCCCGACGGCGACACAGGACTACTTTTACACAGGTTGGCACGTCGAAAGAATCTGCAAAATGTCTACTTTTTTCTAGTCTTGCGAGTAATTTTCAACATGTCTTTCCATTAATAGTTTTTTGTCTTCGGTATTTTCGAGTAATTTTCAACATGTCTTTCCATTAATAGTTTTTTGTCTTCGGTATTTTCGAGTAATTTTCAACATGTCTTTCCATTAATAGCTTTTTGTCTTCGGTATTTTTTTCACATCGAGATTTCTCACAAGTGTATGCATTTCCGCGGAGGAACATCGAACCCTGTGATCGATAATAACATTTCGATTAGCCCCAATCTTTCGTATCGCGTCGAAATTTCCTGCCGGGTAGTTCAAATCGGCCTTTACCACGGCTTTCCAATTGTTTCGCAGGAGCAGCTGGCAGAATTGGAATCGGCGTTCGCAAAATCTCATTATCCGGACATATACTGCAGGGAGGAATTGGCGAGGACCACTAAATTGAACGAGGCCAGAATTCAGGTGAGTTTGCTGCTCTTCGCAGTTAAGAGATCAAACAAACCATTTTTTTTTTCGACTCAATCTTTCGAAAATGGAAAGATGTTTAATTAGATCAGTAATCGTTCAATTATAATTCACCGTTCTAGCAGCAAAAATTTAAATAATTTTTTTTAATCAACAACGAGAGATAATTCACATCTCTCTCTTTATTAATTAATTAATTTTGGAACATTGTTTACAACTCGAGTATCTGCGTGAAATTGAATTTTTTTTTATACTCTAAACTCTTGTGGATAATTTGACGTGTCTCTTTTGATTACGAGCACCTTTTTTCTCAGGTATTGTTTGAGTGCGCGAATAAATTTTCAACAGTCTGCTATGAAGATTATGTTTCGCGTTGACGACGCCGAAAAGCTTGTAGGCATACTTATCTCTCGTCTATCTTTTTGACTGTGACTCACTGTGTAATTGAATCAAAGATGCATGTGGGGTGACAAAATGAAATTACGCGCGCAAATGTCGGTCCAAGACACCCTATATTCTTTGAGGGTTGTGGAATTGATCAGAGGGGTCGGAGACGGGTTTCAACCCACTTCTTTCAATAAATCGAAGGGTTTACGTCAAAACGTTGAACGCGAAAATCTTTTTTCATAGTACAGCATCGGGGTTTTTCGCTTGAGTTTTGAGATAGATTTAATTTTTCATTTCATACTGATATCGAAGAGCGTTTAAAAATCGCAATTCTTTATTCTACACTCTACTAAATTCTCGCGAATAAAAAAAAAAAGATAATTTGTGGAAAATTATAGTAATGAAATTTTAATTTTTCATTTCATACTGATAGCGAAGAGCGTTTAAAAATATACATTAAAAGTCGCAATTCTTTATTCTATACTCTACTAAAATTCCCGCGAATAAAAAAAAAATGATAATTCGCGGAAAATTATAGTAATGAAATTTTTAATTTCTTCGACATGGAAACGTGAGTTCTACGACAGTGGTGCGGTTTGTGATGACATTAAGGGCGGAGGATTTGGTAATGAGAGAGAAAGAGGTAAGCGAGAACGGGGGGCAGAGGAGGAAAGAGGGAGGAGATGTCGGGGTTGGTGTACACCCGGTCCCGAATTCCGAGCGAGCGAGCGGTACATATTAAAACAGTCGCCGGTGCGTTGCGCTCTTTTGATATATAATGCAACGGGGTGTTGTTTGAGTTAAAAGCCCGGGAACCGCCGCGACTTAACCCTGTTAAACTGCGATGCCAAGTAAAACGCGGTTTGCGCTCGTCGCTCGCCGGTTATAACCGATGCACAAAGTGTCCGCCGCGAGGAGGTGCACAACCCGCGCGGCGGATGGTCCTGTGTTCGTTCCGACCTCAAACACGAGAGATAGAAAGAGAGAGAGAGAGAGAGAGAGGCTCGCAGTTTTAAATGTCATTTCCAGTCGCTGGTTTTCCGGCGCGCGGCTGCCCCAGAATCGGCCAATTACCTGTAATCTGCAAAGCGCGCGCTGTAATCAACGTTCGCGGATTTTGTGGATCTCGGTTACTCTCGAGCAAACGGCGGCTTCGCATCGCATCGTAAGGAAACTTTCGTGTTTTCCAAATTAAAATTGTGTACCTATACCTCGATTTATTTTTCTTACGCCGCGTTAAATCAAGCTTTTGAATTATCTATTTTATTTGGCATTTTGTGTTTCTCAGTTTTCTTTCTCTGCGTATATACTTTAATAAAGAATAAATTGTGTGATTAAATAAAATTCCGTAAGTTTTTTTCATGACATTTTGGCAAAGTAATTTTTACGATTTATATTTTCATGAATTTCATTATGCGAAGAATATAGTGTGTTAAGTCATTATCGGTGCATTAGGTATAAAAAGATTCTTACAATGGATTGTAATTTAGTGATTATATTTTTGAACGAAATTAATCTTGCAGAATAGAATTAAAAAATGATTAAATAGTAACGTTCTATTATAAATTCATTTCACCTATCTGTTTCATATAAAATCATATCGATGAAGCATAAATATCATCGCGAAAATTCAGAAATACCCTCCTACCGTTTTCTACGCGAACGCGAAGGATAAAGGAAAATTTCGTCGTCCCTTGGAGGAATCGCGATTGATTTTTTACGCATTAAATTAAGCTTTTAAACTATCCATTTGTTTCTAAATTTTTTTTTGTGTACTTATACTTTAATAAGAAACTTTTGAATAATAAAATTCTGAAAAATTTTTTTATATTTTATCAGATGTTAAATGCTTTATATAATTAATCTAATTACGTAAAAAAATACAGTGTGTTAATAATTATGTTAATAATTATCGGCGCATTATACAATATAAAAAGACTTCCAATGCATTGTAATTTAGTAATCATATTTTTGAACGAAACATTCACTTCTAAATTAATTTCAACACCTATATCTATTTCATATAAAATGATATCGATGAAGCCTAAATATCATCGCGAAAATTCAGAAATACCCTCCTATCGTTTTCTACGCGAACGCGAAGGGTGAAGGAAAATTTCGTCGTCCCCTGGAGGAATCGCGATTGATTTTTTACGCATTAAATTAAGCTTTTAAACTATCCATTTGTTTCTAAATTTTTTCTTTGTGTACCTATAATTTAATAAAGAAACTTTTGAATAATAAAATTCTGAAAAGTTTTTTTATATTTTATCAGATGTTAAATGCTTTATATAATTAATCTAATTACGTAAAAAAATACAGTGTGTTAATAATTATGTTAATAATTATCGACGCATTATACAATATAAAAAGACTTCCAATGCATTGTAATTTAGTAATCATATTTTTGAACGAAACATTCACTTCTAAATTAATTTCAACACCTATATCTATTTCATATAAAATGATATCGATGAAGCCTAAATATCATCGCGAAAATTCAGAAATACCCTCCTACCGTTTTCTACGCGAACGCGAAGGGTGAAGGAAAATTTTGTCGTCTCCTGGAGGAATCGCGATTGATTTTTTACGCATTAAATTAAGCTTTTAAACTATCCATTTGTTTCTAAATTTTTTTTTGTGTACTTATACTTTAATAAAGAAACTTTTGAATAATAAAATTCTGAAAAGTTTTTTTATATTTTATCAGATGTTAAATGCTTTATATAATTAATCTAATTACGTAAAAAAAATACAGTGTATTAATAATTATGTTAATAATTATCGGCGCATTATACAATATAAAAAGACTTCCAATGCATTGTAATTTAGTAATCATATTTTTGAACGAAACATTTACTTCTAAATTAATTTCAACACCTATATCTATTTCATATAAAATGATATCGATGAAGCCTAAATATCAACGCGAAAATTCAGAAGCACCCTCCTGCCTTTTCTACGTGAACGCGAAGGGTAAAGGAAAATTTCGTCATTCCTTGGAGGAATCGCGATTGATTTTTTACGCATTAAATTAAGCTTTTAAACTATCCATTTGTTTCTAAATTTTTTCTTTGTGTACCTATAATTTAATAAAGAAACTTTTGAATAATAAAATTCTGAAAAGTTTTTTTATATTTTATCAGATGTTAAATGCTTTATATAATTAATCTAATTACGTAAAAAAAATACAGTGTGTTAATAATTATGTTAATAATTATCGGCGCATTATACAATATAAAAAGACTTCCAATGCATTGTAATTTAGTAATCATATTTTTGAACGAAACATTCACTTCTAAATTAATTTCAACACCTATATCTATTTCATATAAAATGATATCGATGAAGCCTAAATATCAACGCGAAAATTCAGAAGCACCCTCCTGCCTTTTCTACGTGAACGCGAAGGGTAAAGGAAAATTTCGTCATTCCTTGGAGGAATCGCGATTGATTTTTTACGCATTAAATTAAGCTTTTAAACTATCCATTTGTTTCTGAATTTTTTTCTTTGTGTACCTATACTTTAATAATAAAATTTCTGAATAATAAAATTCTAAAAAGTTTTTTTTTTTATCAGATCATATAAAATGATATCGATGAAGCCTAAATATCATCGCGAAAATTCAGAAATACCCTCCTACCGTTTTCTACGCGAACGCGAAGGGTGAAGGAAAATTTCGTCGTCCCCTGGAGGAATCGGCGGGACCGGTTTGGAAGGTATCCGTCGCAAAACAGGGGTTCTCGGTGGAAGAAAAAGGTAGGATGGCGGCCGCGTAAGAAAGGGGGCCCCTTGTCTCTCTTCTCCCGACGTTTCTTCCCATCTTCCCACCGACGCCATCTCGCCCTCGTCTCGTAGTGGAAGGAATAGCGAGCCCGGCAAGCCTGAGACGTTTCAGATCTATCTAGGGTGGAGAAAATTCAATTTAAAATGGCGGCTCAGATATAATGGCAGCCTCCGGTACAGCGTCACCCAACCCCCTGCGCGCCCAACTCATCTCAACTTTGCCACCCTCGTTCGCCGTCTATTTCTCTCTCGTCCTTGCCGCCTCCACGGCCCGTGTCGCTATCTTTGAGGAAACAGAATGCCGTGACTAGCGCGGGAGCTTTTAAAGGAACGACTGCTACATCTACGACGTTGCTCGATTGATGGTCTCTCGTTAAAAAAAAAAAAAAAAAAAAAAAAGAAAGAAGAGAGATGGATTTCGCTCTCGAGATGCGTTGGCGGAGTAATTTTCTTTTTTCCATGTAATATGCGATGAACGACGCCATGTTTGACGGTATATAAACGTAAAGCTTTTTAGTATCTAGAGTTATTAATTATATTTTTACATCCTTTTATTATTTATATTTTTACATCCTTCTACATCCTTTTATTGTTCTTTGCACACATTATTACTGCTTAATATATGCAATAATTAATTATCAACATTATGATATCTAATACACTTTTTCGAATTATTATACATATATATATTTTTTAAATAGTTAAGAATGTAATTGAACTATTTTTGAACAGAAATAGAGATCTAATTATATTTTTACATCCTTTTATTAATTATATTTTTACATCCTTCTACATCCTTTTATTGTTCTTTGCACACATTATT